GTGGTTTTGTAGTGATCTTGGTGGTGGTGGCTAGTAGCGGCTAAGGGTTTGCTTTTAAATGAGAGAGAAGGGGTGGTGGGGTGGGGCGCGGCGATGAGAAAGAGAGAAGCGAGTGGGGAATGGGGACTGCTATGGGAAGGGCTTTGCAGGCTTTTCCTTTATAAGGGGCATGTTTGTATTTTTCTATTCTATTAAAAGAAGAGCAAATTATAAATTAATCTCTTTAGTTTCAAAAAATAAATTAATTAACCCTTTTTGTTTCAAAAAATTATTATTTAATTTTTTAATCAATATTAATTATATTTAATTTAATATTATTTTTAAATATCTTATTTTCTCATCAATTTTTTTATATTTTTTTATTTTTTAAAATAAAAAATCAAGATAAATTAAAAAAAAACTAAATTACAAATAGATTTCGAAACATAAGAACTAAATAATTATTAATAAAAACTAATTAATTTATTTATTAAAATGAGAGGGACTAATTATAATTTACTCATTAAAAGAATTGTCAATCCTGTTAGTTTAGGATGTTAAGCGTATACTCACAACATGGAGTGATTAATAATTTACTCTTTCTTACAACTAAAAGGTTCTATTATTTTTTAATAAATTTCATTTTGATCCTTATAGATTTACAAATGTTCGATTTCTATCACTATAGTGTAAAATTTTCTGACATCACACTTAAAGTTTTTTAAAACTTTCAATGTTTAGCTTTTTCTACTAAGTAATTAACAAAACCTGGCCTTTTCATATTTTTATTTTATTTTTTTCTGTAAAATTCCTATATATAATCTATAATATCTCGCAAAAAAATTTCAAAATAGTAAAAAGGAAAAAACTCAAAACTCCCCTATAAAAAATAATAACATTGAAATTTTTGAAAACTAGAAAAATAATATTGGAAAATTTTAAACTATAAATGTAGAACATTGATGAATGTATGGAAGAAAAAGTGAAGTTAACTCATGTTTTCAAAAAAAAAAAAAAAGTTTATTGAAGAGGTAGAGGATCAATCTTTATATAGGATCACTCTAAAAAGTAAAGGAGTTGTTTCAATGATAACATGGAAAGTGTAAAGTGTTTGTCGTTCATCCACAAGTATATATTAGCACTAACCATACACTAGGTACTTCGTTGTGGATTTACTGTCCCAAGCTAATGTGTCCAAATCATTGCTAGATTTTTGTCTTCAGTTTGTAAAGTTCGACCGACTTGCAAGTTATAAAAGTAAACTCATGTTTTGACAAAATTTGTAATGAAATTTCGTTGCTTTTTCATTGCTAATGTGTCCAAATCATTGCTAGATTTACCTGCATGTCCGTTTCGAGAAAACTATTTGTGAAACTTCGTGCTCAGTTCCAGTTCACTAGCCAACAGCTTGTGATTAAAACTAGTGGTCCGGGATTAGTAAACGCAGAAAGATAATTATTATTACTAGTAGTCTAAAACATAAAACATAAGGCACTTTCAATGAACAGTATTTTTCCTTTTTTTTGTTTTTTCGGGGTTTGAACCCAGCAGCTAAGGCTTGCCTAACCTTATTTTTTTTCCCCTTAATATACGGCCGGCCTTTTTTTTTTTTTTGCCCCCCTCTCTCTCTCTCTCTCTCTATATATATATATATATATATTTTATTTTGTCCTTATAAGTAATTTTTTTCTTCATTTTTAATAAAAGTTTATGTTTTTTTGTTCTTATTTTATGGTATATTTTTATTTTAGTCATTAAATTTTTATTATATTTGATTTTTATCTTTACTATACTAAAACTAAATAAAGTTTAATATCCTAAAACTTTTTTGTACTACTCACTCCTTTTTTTTTCTTTTTTTCTTTTTTTACCCTTATAACATATTATTCATTCTTAGGTCTTTTTTTTCTTTTTAAATTTTCACTCTTAGTTTTTTTTTTAATTTTTTTATTAGGTTCTTTTGTAATTTTAAAATTATTTTATTTTGATTATTTTATTTTAATTTTCACTTTTATTTTTTTCCTTAGTTTTCTTTTTTTGTAATTTTTAAATTATTTCATTTTAATTTCTGAAATTTTAAAATAAAAATTTTAATCCCTAACCGATGCACTACATACCTTTTCTTTTTTTTTTCTTTGATTTTTTTTATCAATTTATATATCTTTTTTTATTTAATTAAGTGTTAAAATTTTAAAAAATCAATCGTTACTTTTTTCCATACAAACCGACGATTATATAATATATATAAATCAAATATATGTACTTTTAAAAAATAATCTTCTCATCAACATTAAATAAAAATATTTTATTTTTTCATTGATTAATTTTTATGCAAGTCTATACATTAATTGTAAATTTATTTTTTGGATATATTCTTATAAAATAATATATTTTAAAGCATTTTTTTATATTCTTAATTAATATTTCAGGTTTAAATTGTATATTACAAGTTTTTATTCAAGAATCCCTAAATAAAGAAAAATAAACTATGTTTTTTTAAGCAAAACTTTTATGAAAAACATAGTAATAATTAAATAAAAAATTAATGAAAAAATTATAAAATTTTTGAAATGATTTTTCTCTATTTACCGTAGCGTTACGTTGATAATTTAAAAAATTAATCTTTTCATCATCATTAAATAAGAATTTTTTTTCATTTTTAGTTTTTATAAAAGTTTATCTATTAATTATAACTTTTTTTTTTTTCAGAATACAATATTATGAAAAACATATTTTTAAAGTTTTTTTTAATTCGATGAGAAGATTTTTTTCAACCATAAAGAAGAATGACCTATGTTGTTTTAAGTAAAAAAGTAAAAGAATTTATAGAAAAACATTAAAAAAAATTAATTAAATAAGAAATTATAATTAAAATTTTTAAAAATTTTTAAAATGAGTTTGTTCTATCTAACTCGCAGCGTAGTGCGAGTAACCAACTAGTACATATACTAAAAGGAAATATGGTTTCACCGTAGCTAAGCCTCTGCTACAATAAAACTAAAACGACGTCAATTTGAGTCTTTTAGACTCAAAACGACGTTATTTTTCCCAAAACAAATAAATATTTTTTATCAATTTATCAGTATTTTACACTTTGGTTCTCTAAGTTATTACTTTATATAAAACGATCCCTCATTTTCATGAATATTATCAAAAGGTACCTATCATTTTTTTTTTCGGATTGGGGTTTTTTCATTAATTATTATTTAATCAAAATAATTTTTTTCTCATCATCAATGGTTACTTTTTCTATCTTTATAAATATTCATGAACTAAAATTAATTATTCTTCTAATATAAATTGATTAAACACCTCCTTCTAATTGGATTTTTTAAAAATGATTAATTAATTGCATATATTTTTTATCTATCAAAATAAAAAATATTTCTAATAAATATTTCAATTCAATTATATATACATTAAATTAAACAATTTTTTTACAATGAGTATTAATTAATTTTTATTTTACATTTATATTTTTAAATTATTTAAAATATTAAAACATGGATATAATAAATTTATCCACGGCAACACGTGAGTATTGAGCTAGTAAAGAAGCTAAAATTCAATGAAGTTTCTATGTAGTTAAGAAGAGCTTAGCTAGAGAGAACATGTCCGGAACGAATTTTGTTGTGTAAAAAAAGTTAGTTTTTTGTAATTATGAATATTTTTTTTTATTTTGGATGTTTCAGTTTTATAAATATGAATTCATTTTGGCTCTTAGTTTGTATAGAATGATACTTAAGCTTCGTTACGTTAAAATGAAGTCCTTGAAAGTAGAGAGAGGAGAGTGAATTGTGTGCGTGTGTATGTGTGTGTGTGTGGGTGTTTTTTTTTTTTTTTTTCGTTTCTAGAGTTGATTAAAACAAGAGTAAATTATAAATTAGTTCTTCTCACTCTAGGAAGCAAATTAATTAGTTCATCGAGTTTCAAAAACTAATTATTTTAATTTTTTTATTTTTAATTTATTTTTATTTTTATTTTAAAAAATAGAAAAAAAATAAGTAAAAAGATATAAAGATTGATGAAAAAAATTTATAAAATAAAAAAATATTAAATTAATCATGATCAATACTAATTAAAAAAATTAAATAATTAGTTTTTGAAACGGATAATCTAATTAATTCGTTTTTCAAAATGAGAAGGACTAAATTATAATTTACTCATGGAAACAAGTTTTGAGGTTAAAAATGCTTTTTATATATTTTTGAGATAATACTAAAGATATTTGAAAGAAAAGGTGGGGAAAAATTAGTTTTGGAGGACCAAAACCAATTGCCTCTAATTTTTTTGACATCTTTCAATGACATTTGGTCGCGAAAATTGCAGAGAGATAACGCATTTGTTTTCTTAAATGGCTGATCTTGTTAAGCTTCCTTCCTTCCTTAGTTTTTTTTTTTTTAAGTTATTCTTCCTTCTTCTTTTTTTGTGGTATTATTTTATTATTATTTATTATTTGTTCAAAATAATTTTTTTCCATAATTAATGGTTATTTTGTGAATTTTTTTATAGGCTTATTAACTAAAATTAAATATGGTTTTAATACATATTGATTTACCATCCTTTCAGTGTTTTTTCGACATTTCAATTATTTACTATTCTAATTTGATTTCTTTTAAGTAATCTTCATGAAAAATTGAATATGACAACTATAAAACAAGAAATTTTCTTGAGAAAACGCGTTAGACAATTAAGCCTTTGAATAAGTCACGCCATAACAATTATAAAACATGTTCATTTTCCTTGAAGTAATCTTCATGAAAAATTGAATGTGACAACTTTGTCCATCTTCCAAATAATATCGATAAATATGAATTGCTGCAGTGTTGCTCATAAATTTCCTGGAAAAGGAAAGAAAGAGAAAACGCGTTAGGACTCAGGTTCAGGCAATTAAGTCTTTGAAGTCACTGTCATTACTTGAAACATGATCAGTTCTTGACAACTATAAAACATGGTCAGTTTCCTTACATTAGTCTTCATAACTTCTATCCGACTATTATACAATAGAAATGAGCAATTCAATGCCATACCAAAATGGTTTCGATTCATACTCTAAAGATCCACCAAGTGAAATCGAAGAGTTCAATTCCTCAATGAGATGGGCAGTAGCAGGCTCAATTGGTAAGCAAGTTTCTAGCTCATGCATAAGTTTCAAGTTTTCATATTTTAAAAAGCTAGCTAGGAGCCATTGTTTTGATGAGAATATCCTCCATAATTTTTCAGTTTTAGGATTGGTGACAACGGTGGCATTAGTAGCTATTATATATGCCATCATCGACTGCTTGAAGAAAACAGGAAGTGCAATTCCAGCTTACGCCCGGATTGCCACCAATGAGATTGTTGGTAAAGCAACAATGCCAGAAGGCCCAAATCCTTTATCTGAGCAGCATGTGGCAATCGCTGTGGAACCCGAATTCCCAGTGATTCCAGACTCACAGGTTGAATTTGCAACCATGGAGAGATTCCTTAGTAGCATGGCAAGGGAGAGGCCCATCAGGTTTTGACCTCAGCAGATCGAAGGATTCACTAATGGTTGCTCCACAATATTGGGTTCAGGTGCCTATGGAGTGGTCTTCAAAGGAAACTTCCCAAATGGAATACAAGTAGCTGTTAAAGTTCTGACAAATCATTCAAATAAGAAACTTGAAGAGCAGTTCATGGCAGAAGTGGGCACCATGGGAAGAACTTACCATGTCAACCTGGTTAGACTCTACGGCTTCTGCTTTGATTCGTCTATGATGGCACTTGTTTACGAATACATGGAGAACGGATCTCTTAACAGCAAACTCTTTAATGGAACCCAAGAGATAGAATGGGAGAAACTGCAAGGGATTGCAATAGGAACTGCAAAAGGTTTAGCCTATTTACACGAGGAATGTCAACAAAGGATAATTCACTATGACATAAAACCCGAAAATATACTTCTTGATGAAAATTTGTTTCCTAAGGTTGCAGATTTTGGACTAGCAAAGCTGTGCAATAGAGAAAAGAGTCAGGTAACACTGAGTGGTGGCCGACGGACACTAGGATATTCTGCTCCTGAGGTATGGCGTCGCACTTATCCTGTTAGTCACAAATGCGATGTTTATAGTTTTGGAATTCTTCTTTGCGAGATAATTGCAAGAAGAAGACATTTTGATGAAAATCTTCGCGAGTCTTACCAGTGGCTCCCTAGATGGATATGGGATATGTACAGAAATAGCGAACTGCCTATCATGCTGTCACTCTGTGGGATTGAAGAAAAGGACAGAGAAAAGGCAAGGAGGATGTCAATTGTGGCTCTCTTGTGCATTCAACATTCACCAGATGCTAGACCTCTAATGAGTGATGTGGTTAAGATGTTGGAGGGAAACATGGAAATAATCATGCAGCCTGAAAATCCATTTGAGTATCTGGAATCAACCCAGCCGAATTACGCTCTTAATATGGGAAGCAGTGAAGACTTGAGTACATCTACATCAACAACAAATCCTTCCCAACAATCTCATTGTAAACCTAATATGAATGGAAGGTTTGAAATTGAGTTAGCTAGCAAATGTTAGTTTAATAGACAATCAGAATTGTGTTCTTGATATATCCTAAAATCAGAGGTTAATTTTTTATAAAATTTTCAAATGATGATGTTTTAGATATGTAAAATCACTGCAAAAAAAAAAAAAAAAAAAAAAAAGCATTTTAAACTAAGGTGATTGATGACTATAGAAAATGCATACGTTATTACTTGCCCAATCTTACAATCATCCTTAGCCACATGTCATTAACCTCAAATTACTTCCATGAAAGCAAAAGGAAACCACGAAAACAATATGAAAGCTACATATAAAAAAAGATTGCAAATATATATTGTTATATTTTGTTTGTGTTGGATAAATATAGACTACAATATAATAGCTACATACATACCGTATTAAAATATATCTATTTATAACCGACCAAGTTGAATATATTTTGAAATCTTTGGAGTCTTTATCGTCAGCTATATTACTTTTGAATTTATTTGTTTCGGACTTTATCATCAGATTGTCCTGATACACATGATGAATTAAGTTCTTAGACATCTAAAATACCTTTGACTTTTGTTAGAGAGTCTATTCTCAATTAAATAAACAAATAATCAATACATAATATATAATGTTAAGAAAGAACAATCCACTGATAAAACTTAAAATTTTTTAGAAGAAACTCAATTTCATTTATCAAATTTAAAATGGTATTAGAGCTTTAAAGAAATCCAACAATCTAATAAAGATCTTTAAACCTAAGTCACTTGATAGAAAATAAAATATAGACAACAAATGAGGAAAAGTGTCAGAGAAACTAAGTCTCTCCAAATGAACTTGAAATTGCTTAATAATTAAGCTATCCAATATGTAGAAAATTCTGAATGCTGCTGAGATTCGCATTGCTGGATCTTATAAAAGTCAAAATCATTTTGGACTAGGCAATGAAAGATGATTTGTGTTTTTCATTTTCGGTTCAATTTTTCAGTCATTTTGGTTATAGCATATACAAGAATTATAACTGTAAATTGAAAATAAGCAGCATGAGAGGATGCTCAAACTTTGCTGGCTGAATTGGAGTTGATGCTGAATCTTGAGTAAAGCTTTAAAAATCCTACTCAAGTTTGTTTGTGACCTTCTCCTCATCGCCTTTGCTAAGTTACACATCGAGGGTCCTCAACCCTACAAAAAAAAAAACTTGTTTTGCAGATTCTCCAATCAATCCAGCAATCACCCCTTAGTTTTTTGAAAAGCCACCTCATCATGGGAGGTTTTCCACTGTCATCAAATTCTTTCTCAGCTTTTGGAAAAGCCATCTCACCTCATCATAGAAGGTTTTCCACTTCTCATCAAATTCCTTCTCGATGATTAACCTTTTAATATTTTTTTAATAATATTTTACTCTTATTATGCAGTTTAATTTTGCATCGAAACATTCATTGTTTGGAATTTGGTAGGTAAATTTAATTTGTGTCCTAGAGATGACAGTTGAGACTTAAAAAAATATATATATATATATAAATCATATCTTGGACCTCCATCTAACAATTTATCCTATATTGAATATTTAAATAATAAATGAAGAATATATAAAGTTGAAGATCAATGACTCATCACAAATCTTAAATCTTTTGAATGGAATTTAATCTCAACTATCTAACTAATATGATCCTAACATCTCAAAGAAATCTAATGATTCAATAAAGATTCTAGAGTCCTAAACGCTAGACAAACTCTAAAAGACGGACCATAAATGAGAAAGAGTGTTAGAAAATCTATACCATATATAAAATAATTAAACAATAGATAAGCAATATTAAAATTGAGTATGAGCTTTCCACAACAAAACTTAACTTTTTTGGATAAAACTGAATCACAACTATCAAATTTAATAACTATGAACTATTGAAATAAATTTACTTTTTTTAATCAAATTTTGCCACTTATGAAAAGTAAATTTCGACATGCTGCATTTATCCAAAAGTGAGTATTTAAACTCATCGGGTAGTTTTTTTGTTAATCAAGAAAATACCAACTAAGCTTCAATTCTCAATTTTAATGCTTATATATATATATATATATATGGATGGTAGGTGTATTTTAGGACATATGATAATTTAATTTCATCATATGTAGGTCAAGTGCTATGATTATGTTAGTTTGGATTAAAAAAAAATCTAATAAAAGAATGGATTGTATGCAATTAAAGGTTCCATGATGGATTAGACATTACTTCTGAAAATATAAAAATAGATTGAGTCATTTTTCCTATTAAAATTTCTAAAAAGTGATCTTTAAAACTCCAATTTTTTTTTTTTTTTTGTAATTATAGTTAAAAATTAAAAAAATATTTTCCATATAATTAACTTTATATAGAAAAACAATTAAACAGATATTAAAATTCCTAACACGTAAAAACTCATGAATGGGAAAACGGAAAGTAATGAAAAAGGTGATAATTAATGGTGACTAATTATAAAATAAGAAATACAACTACAAATAGCTAGCTACTAACCCACGTATGCTTGGGTGGTCGGACTTTTTTATTTGTGGTTTTAGTCGGAGCTGTTATCATTGTTTGATGTTTGAGTAGTCTCTTAGGTTTCCCTCCAATAAACGGTTGAATATCTCTGCTGTAAGATGATCTAAATTTTTGTCATAAGGGCTATCTATATATCCTCGAGAGTTTTTATTTATTTATTTATTTATTATTATTATTATTATTTTGTGGTACAGTCTTCTTCTTCCATATTGATTTTGATACTAATAAAGCTAGTGTAAAATACGCTGTTAATGAAAGATTTTTAAGTCCATATATTGAGACTTGTCTTTTATGTTTCTCCTATTTTGAAGTGTTTTTGTTTTTTTCATTTTTCTATTATTAATGGATTTTTTCCATTTATTTATAACCTAGTTGAATATTGAAGTTTATTAAAAATATGTCCTGTTATTTTTTTTGTAGAATGTTTTCCTTCATAATTTGTTATCTTTTTTTTTTTTTTTTAATTCCAATGTTAGTAGGGATAATAGTTATATACATATAAAAAAAATGTCAGTAGGGATAATAGTTATATATATATGTCAGTAGGCATGACTATTGAATGAACTTAGTTCAGAATTTAGAGAATTTTTCTATGTGATTGCATCTATTCCTTAAATCATGTTAAGTTGTATTTGATATTAAATTAAGTTCTTCTGAACATAAGGTTTGTAAATTTTTTAAAAAGATTTTAAGTTGAGAAAGAATTTCTTTTGAGTATTTTTTAGTTGTTACGTAGTAAAATAGAAATTTAATGTTTCAAATTTAATAATTTTTTTAGTCCAGAATAGAATTTTAAGGATTTTATAATTAATGACTTATCATCTTTTAATTTGTATTAATTTTTAATTGATTATGTCTCACTTCAGAATTGATTATATTTTTGACATGTGTTACATTTGTTTTGATGTTTAAATTTACATTGATGCTAATAATAATAAGAATAAGAATAAGAATAAGAATAATAATCAAAATTAACTATGTAGAGAATAATATATTTTTTTAATCAATAGCTATGGACTGATTGATTAAAATTAACCATTCTTCCAACATAAATTGTTTGAGTACTCCTTTTTTGTCGATTCTTGTCTTCTTTAATTTGATTTTTAGATAATATAGATAATTGGTTGCATGTTTGCTTTTTTCATTTATCAAAATCAAGCATATTAATAATATATATTTAAACTTAAAAATAAAAATACAATTGATATTAAATACTATAAAATACATATTTAATAAAAAATGACACAATTAATGTTGATTTATTTTAATTTGTTAGCTTAGATTTTTTAAATTAATCAAAATATTAAACATATTTTATAGGCTTGCCCTTTGTAACGCATAGGTATTATGCTAGTACAGAATCTAAAACAATATAGGTTTTTCCTATAGCTAAACCCCTCCCATTTTTCGTTTTGAGTTTTTTTTTTCCCCCTTCCGCTTGAAAAAAAAAAAATTAAGTTAGTTTTCAATAATAATTTCATTTTGGTCCTTGAAGTTCTAGGTTTGTGCCAAAAGAGTCCCTCATCTTTATTTGTGTTGGAGTTTGATCACTAAATGTAGAAAGATGAGAGAGAATGCAAGAGAGAAGAGTTTAGTTTTTTGGATTCTACGGTGGCTTAGATAGTATTGTTCAATTCAAAATGGGTTTTTACAAGTTGTTAAGATAATTTGAGGGTGTTTTTAGGTGAAAAAGTAATGTAGAAATCGGGTGTGAAGGACAAAAAACAACGGGTCTGCCAATTTTTTGACAAGAAAATGATCGGCGAAATGTTGTCAGAAATTGCACACAACGTCGTTGGAAGTTACGGCGCTGTCGCCTGCAACACCAGAGCAGAGGATGCGTCGTCCATCTTTTTTTTTTTTTTTTTTTTTTAAATGTATAGCTCCTAGGCTGTGGGATAGCAGACGAGGCTCATGGGTATTTTTTCTTCTTTTCTTTTTTTCTATTGTTTATTATTTACTCAATATCGTTTTTTTTTTGTTTCAAAGAATCAATGGTTATTCTTGTATTTTATACAACCTCAATAGAAATAATTATTATTTTTCATGATTTGAACTCTTTTTTTGAAAAAAAATATATATATAAAAAATCATTGTCATGAACAAAATAATTCTTCACCCAACCTTACAAAAAAAAAAAAAAAAGGCGACATTGCCAAGTTTTTTTCTTACAATAATAGAAATTTCATAATTGATAATCAATCAATCTAATGCATAGTTTCAGAAATTTTGTAACAATAATAGTAATCCATAATTGATATAATACCTATTTTTTCTCTAAAATAAATATCAACGCTCATTGTATATTAATATTCAGAAGAAAAAAGGATTTGATATTTTAACAATTTATCATCTTTTTTATAATTTTTTAGTTGATTCCATGATTTTTTAACAAGTATAAGAAAAATTTAGAATTACATTGGCGCGAATAAAAAATTAAAAACCATCAAGTAGAGAATAAGGAGTCTTTTAATACATAGTTATGAATTCAATGATTAATATTAAGCATCCTTGTCAATTCTTCCATTCTTTTTAATTGTTGAGTTTTTAATTACATTTTTAAGTGATATAAATAATTAAGTGCATATTTCTTGTTTGAAAATCTCGAACTACCACATCCCAGAACTTGCACACTGGTCCCTTCAAGCATTCAGATGCAAGTCTCCTATATATATAGATAGCATTTTGAGATTCAAAATAGGTTATGCCTTGTTGTTAAGATGATTTTAGGTGTTTTTAAGTAAAAATGATGTAGAAATTGAGTGTAAGAGACCAAAAACAGCAGTTTGTTTATTGTTAAATAGTAGAGGTTTCATGATTGATAATTAATCAACCTAATGCATAGTTTTAAATAAATAACCAAATCCGGGTTTGACTAGGAATAAGAATCGTTGGCAAAATAAATAAACAAATCCATGTCTGTGTAGGACTAGGAAATCCTTATCAAAAAAAACAAATCCTATTCCGATTTGGTAAAAGAAATAAACAAATTGTTGGCTACTGCCTCCTATATATATGCAAGAAGGTGCAACCAGTGAATTACGAGATCATATCGTTTGCTTCGATTAGTGTCTCTGAAATCAAGATGTCAGCTATGTTTCAAAACTATAATGTTTATGTGTCTGCAATCTACTCCAGTTTTCCAAGAAACGACAGTACATCAGCTGTCTCAATCAATATTAATCTTCAAGTCATGACAAGCTACGTATCAGATGTTACTGTCAGTATGCCTAAGAAACACGATTCTTTGGAATCATTAATCAAATCCAGGTCGAACGTGCCAAAGATGATAAGAGATCGTAGTGATCCAGTACCAAAATCATTCATATTCAACGTCGAATCATGTCGGTCTTTGACCGGGGACTTTGTCTCGAGGGTGATATCTGATGCCAACATCCCCTTCGCACTAGATAGGATTCAGTGGAAAGGAAATCCAAGAGAAGATTGGACCAGCTTAAAGAACCAGGACGATCTATTTCAATGCATATTGGATATTGTTACTCATTCTCATGATAACGAGTTCACCTTGGTTTTGATCATTCATAAGAAAACAATTTTGCCACACCAAGAATATGAGAAAATGCATTATGCAAGATGTGTTCTTGAAGAAGCACGCGATGCAAATAGAATGGTTTCTTTCATGAACCAGGAGCAAGCTAACCTTGGGAGGCCCTTCTTGCCTAGTATATGGGAGAGTAGTTTTTATCGGCCATTGAGAGAGAGGGGTAGAAAACTTGGATTTGATTCGTATGACTCGTTGATTGAACTTGCGTTAAGACTGTATGCAGAACAAGAAAGATTCAAGCTAATTCCGGCTACTAAATCATCGATTCAAGCATTAGAGGAGGTCGTCATTGATGATATTGAATCCCCAACATCGTGCCCAATCTGTTTGGAAAACATGGAGATTGGTTCTCCAGCCACTTGCATGCCATGCTCCTACAGTCACAAGTTCCACAACCCATGCATTGTTCTTTGGCTTCAGATTAGCCATGTGTGCCCCCTCTGTCGCTTGGAGTTGCCGGCCGAATAGATTTTTCCTTTTTTCTTTCGTTTTTCGATCAAGAGATCTTCATGAAGTTAAGAAATATTACTAAATGTGTAGTTCTTTATATCAATTGTTTTTTATTGTTACAATCTATTGCCGAGTAGTTTGTTGTGTCCGATCTTTCTTTCTATATCATTAACGAATTTATTTATGGTCGAATTCAGAAATCGTGAGGTTCAAACTGTTGACTGCTTCTCTTGTGCCATAATATTATTCTATAGCATTACGACAGACGCATATAATTAAATAAGAACTTGCCAACGCTGCAATCCATAAGAACTCAAATTACTCTCATAGTTTGGTTTCCATTATTATCACGTCGACTATCAAAGACATGTAAATCGTTTTCTGACTCAGGAATCTGCAAAATTCTTGACAAATCTGAGGCTGCGGTACGGGAAAAGCAAGAAAATATGGAGAATTATAAAAAATTAGAACTTGATGCATGCATGATCTTATAGAATTTACTATTCAGATTTCAGAAATATTCCTTTTTTATATTCCATAGCATCCATTCTATGTCGAACATAACTTCTTGGCTCTAGCTACATTTTTTTTTAAAAAAAAAAAAGGAACCAGCAGCAACAGCAATCAGACCATTCAGACCAATCCCAAGCAAAGTTTTCATCGTGGAGCACTCATGCACCGGATTTTAATAAATTCGAGTACACTCACAAAAATCTTGATACATATACTCATCGCAAATAATACTTTAGTTAAATTAAAGGAACAAATACATGACAAAGCATCCTTGCAACTTGATAGTACTCTTAATAGATTGCAGCTCAATAGAGTACACAACAAGTATAGGGGCACGAAAATTTTGTAAGGTTACATAATTCACAGCCAAGTGCACAACCAAATTCTGGTTAGCTGCTGTAGCAAGTAGAGAATTCAAACGAGCAGATACCAAAACTTGCACAATATGGCCTCTTCAACCATCCAGATGCATTTCTGCCTATCCCATTACCTAATATAGATATGGCATGTAAAGGAGATTCGACATGGGTCTTTAATGTAAATTCTGCATTTCAACAATCTTTCAAATCAAAAAAAAATCCGACAATAAGTATCCGGTAAAACAGAAACAGATTTGAAACACTTATTACCAGCCAAACCATGCTACACACTCTGTACTTTGCTAGATATTTCTTTGGCTTTTGCACCTTCCTTTTCCTGTCATCAATGAAATTAAATATCTAACATAAGATGCTCATGCACAGCCATTAATGCGTCCAACATAAGCATCACACGAAAATAACCAGAACAAAATCTAGTGACCAAATGAGATATTCACATGAGTTTCTTCATAAAATCTACCACATGGTGGTATTCATAAAGTAGCCGAAACAAACAAGGGGCATATCTATATGTTGAATGCATTTAACCATTAACTTTAGAACATCGCAAGCCATAATAGAAATCGAGTCTTATGAAATTTCTCATATAGCTATTTTGAGATATGATCAGTAAACTTAGACCTTTTTATTTCTAAATGGTTATCAAATACAGCCAGTTAAATAGAAATACACGTTATTGATCTGTTCCATAGAGAACTACAAGTATTGTTTTCTTTTTTATGACATTTTGGCACCCTTTGGACATGCAAATAGTTCAAATGCATCAACAATAATCAAATCAAAATTAAAAATGCTTTAAAAAATAAACAGTTTGAAATAGCAAGATTTAGTGTCTAGAGTTAGTTTGAGTCACAAGCATACATCAGTTACTAACCTCAATATTGCATTATTGCATAATTATCCTGTATAGTCTTCATGTCATTAAAATCCTCAATTAGCCATGATCTCTTTCTTTCAAGACCTAGCGTTCTAATTTTTCTCCTTTTCTTATCCTAAAAAATTAAGAATGAAACTCTCACCTAAAAAAAACTGCAATTCGTCTATTCTTACGCTTTACCCTATTAGCTGGTGCAAAAAGTGCACTTTACTGTCGAACCAGTGGTTCATCTCTGTATCTTGTTCAATACTCATATCTTCTTTTTGAAGACAACAGGTTGAAAAAACAATCTTTTAGCCTGTTATGATAAATTGAGAGTAGGTTTTGCATTGAGGGAAGTTGGGACAAGTTCTGAGGTAGTAGAGTTCTTGGGAACTCAGATCTCAGAAGTCACCTGAGATTGGATGCAGGTCAGATGCTGATGCAGGGTCACAGTACAAAGCCCTATAGGCTGAAAAATCTTTCAAAACTACAGTACTTCAAACGAGTTTATAGGCCATATATGAAGCAAGGAAAGAGGTTCACTGAGGAGATGTACTCAAAAAAGGTCTCTAAACTGTTGACTCAGCAAGCGAACATCATTAATTGCAAAGCATTTCAGAACTAAGAAGAGGCTGCTGCTGATAATTAAGCAGCTTGGTAATCCAGGTTATAAAACTAGCTCCTGACAAGAGTGCAAAGGCACAAAATTGGCTCCCTTTAAAAAAAAAAAAAAAAAAAAAAAAAAAAAAAACCCTCCCAGAACGATTTATTTTGTAATAGAAAGGCATTATGCAGATGCTCCTGCTTCTGCAACAATAAATCATAACGAAGAGAATAACACATCTAGCCTATATACTGCAACCACCTTCCTGATACCCATCACAATCAAATCATTTTATTTTTTTAAGAAAAAAAGCTCAGATAATAACAAATTCTACATATTGTAGGAAAAAAAGAAAACAATGAAGCAAACACATAACAGAAAGATACATCAACTAGAAAGCAATTGCTTATAAGCTACTTCTCATTTTAGCTTCAACAATATTCTATGCCCCACCAAACCTGGTAAAAACATTCTATTACGCAGTTACATCTAATTTTGAGCCACATCATTAAACAAAAATAGCCGTGATGATCATGATGTCGCATGCTACAAGGCTCTAAATGAACAACGGCAGCACCATAATAATACAAGAAATCTGAAGCTTACCAAACCCTTGGTTTCATAGTAATCATCCAAAGCCCACTGATACTTAGATTGATTTAAGCCAAACCACCTTGCCAAATGGTCATCCAAGCTTGAATGTGCTGCAGAAGAAAACAATCCCTTTAATCTTAAAGAGTAAAATCAAGCACAAACAAAGAATAACAATTGGGCCATAAAAAAGGTCCAACTTTCCCAAAGGCACAAACTTTAACAAAAACCCAAATGCAATACAAAGAAAAATAAACAAACCAGTTTGAACTTTGTTGGCAGCATTCTTGAGGAAGCCAAGAACAGACCCATCTGAAACTCGATAAGAAGAGACAGACTTGTCAATTTGTTGAGGAGGAGGTTGGACTGGAGGAGGAGGTGAAACAACCTTCTTAGGTGAATCAAAGACCGGAAATGGTGATTCATTAGCAGCAGCAGCAGTAGTAGGCTTTGGACTGGGAGTGGAAGGTGGGGTCATGAAGACAGTGTAGGGCCCAATTTTGCCGATCAAGGGAGGTGGTGTTGAAGGGTCTTTATTGATCGGCATTTTCTTGCTTCTGAAACTGAAGGGGAAGAGAAATGGAAGGAAAGGAAAGGGATTTATTTGCTTTTGGAAGAAAAAGAAGTAGAAGAAGAGTAAAGAAAGAGTGAGAACAGAGAAAGCGTGCAAGATTCTAGGGGCTCTGGTTGGTAAAGTAAGGTGAGAGGATATATAACTGTGAAACAGTGCACACAACCCAAGTGGTTAGATCTTTGTCTTTGTTGTTGGGTTAGTACAGTAGAGTATTACTTTTTTTTTTTTCCTCCTTGTACTTCATATACTAGTACCTTTCAGGGGTTGGATGGGAATGTAATTGGGGTTTCTTTGCTGTTTTGGCCCTTAGGGCACATGGTTTTGTCTGAAATTGGAAGTGTAGGCTACTTTGGACTTTGACGGGTTAAGACGGTTTTGGACATTGCAACCAGCAAGTAGTGATCTTTGTCATTATCTATTAAAAAACAGTTTGTGCAGAGAGAATCTCTCTCTCTCTGTTTTTTTTTGGAGGTAAATTACAAAATAGTTTAGGTCTGTGAAATTATTACCAATTATGGAAAATAAAGTGTAAAAAAATTATGATTCCCCACTGCACCCTTTTGTAATTTGGTTACATTTAAAATTTAGAGTTGGTTTTCTTACAAAACAACCTATTGACTAGGAAATTTACTACTTCCTTAATGGGATACTTGTTTAATGTTTTCAAATGGTAACTGCTTTCTTTTTCTTTTTCTTTTCTTTTTTTCTTTTTATACTCAATCCCTTCCTTAATAAATTTTTAAATATTTATGGAAAGAGGGACCCTGAAACGAGAAAAAGAGGGGGGTGGGGGAAGCTCTAAGTTTGAAAATAAGCAGACAAAAGTTCAAATGAATGGGCACAATAGGGAAGTAGGACATTTTCAAAGGGGAATTGATTGTGCGCATTTTAAATACATTTCTACAGAAGTAGAAAAGTATTGTCTTTTTTTTTCTTTTTTGATCTTCTCTTTTCACCACCCTCGAATGCCTGACATGATGGCTTTGATATTATTTTCGGACCAATGACATCTTAAGTTATACATTGTTTACCTTTTAAAAAAAAAAAATTGGACTTAAATTACATAAGAAACTAGACCATGTAGTTTTTTTATTTTATTTTATGATATTTGGGAAATATATATTTAAATTAAAAGCATGGCCACTTGAATTATTCAATCGAAAATAAAAGTTTGCAAATCATACAAAATATTTCACTCATTCCATAATATTCAGAGTTCTTCCTACTTTTTTATGTTATTCAAACTCAATTTGAAAGTGGACATTTATAACTTTCTTGGGAAATCGTATTTTGGTTTTTTCGAAGATACGCCACGTTGATTTTTCTTTTTTTTTTCTTTTTTTTTTTGAAGAAAAAGTAATTAACCCAAAAAAAAAAAAAGAGAGTCGAACTCGCCATCTTACATAAGAAAGTAAAGTTACAACCTCTTGGTCGTAGTACTTTTTTTTTTTTTTGGGGGGGGGGGGGGGGGACATAAATACACTTAAAATCAGCACAAATAAAGCTGATTCGAAGAAATCATGGAAGAGTTTTGTAATTGAGTTGGATTGAAGTTCAAACAATGTAAGTTGAACTTGAATGCATTACAGATGCGCACCCATTTTATGATGAGAACAGAACAAAGGCCCACCCATTTTCGAATAGGCCACGGGTTGTTTGAGCCTTTTAAGGAGAGACTAAGCTATTTAATTATCATCATCATTATTATTATTATTATTATTATTATATACTAAAACAGAATATGATTTCACTATACCTAAACCCTGCTTTCCAAAAAATAAATAATTTTTTTTATCAATTTATCAATATTTTACACTTTGATCCTCTAAATTTTTATTTTTTATAAAACAATTTTTAATTTTAATTAATATTATCAAAAGGTTCCTATCTTTTTTTTTTCGAACTGGGTTTTTTTCATTAATTATTAGTGAATCAAAATAATTTTTTTTTCATCATCGATGGTTACTTTTTCTATTTTAATAAATATTCATGAACTAAAATTAAATATTCTTCTAATATAAATTTATTAAACACCCCTTTCCAATTGAATTTTTAAAAATAATTAATTAATTACATATATTTTTTATCTATCAAGATAAAAAATATTCCTAAAAAATATTTAAATTCAATTATATATATATCTATATCAAATTAAACAATTTTTTTACAATGAGTATTAATTAATTTTTATTTTACATTTATATTTTTAAATTATATAAGATATTAAAATAAATGGATATGATAAACTTATCCATAGCAACATTCAGGTATTGAGCTAGTAGTATACTGGTAGGACATTCAGACACAATCTTAAAACGGGAAGAAAAGGAAATCTCAAATGCTTACAGGTCAGACACATGCTATTTGTCTAGCTACAACTTACAAACCACGAGCACGTAACTCATACTATAAACATGCACCATTTTTTTTTTTATTGGTATGTTTCCAACTTCTGTTTGTTTAAGATTACAGAACTCCATTAAAAGCAAAGCATGGGCATAACAAGAAGCTAACCCTACAAATATTAATATTACCTACCAGGCTATCCAGAGCCACTAACCTAACGAGGAAGAATATCTCCATTGTGCATGGTGGATGGTACAATCTCATACAAACCCCACAAAAAAAAAAAAAAAAAATGACAGTTTCATGCCACCTTATGTATAAAGTTGATGCCAAGTCAGAACTACCGGGTACAAGAAAATGCATGAATGGACACCATACAGAAGTCCAGACTAGAGCAACATTCGTCAACAGTTATTAGTGACCGAAACAACAGTCTCAACTGAGTTTCCAACAAATGATCTCAAATGTCAAGGTTGAGGGCTTATAGGGATTCCTTCGCCACAGCCTCCAAACATATATATACCTCGTGAAAATCAGATAACTGAACTTCCCAAGGAAAGTTCATGGAGCTCACTCAGCATCCACTCATCCCCAGTTTGACCACCGAGGACTATAGCCCTTGTCCCTCCAACAACACAGGTACTGTGTCCCCAAGCAAATCTTGGAGGTCGCCCCGGTACATTTAGAATCCTCCATGTTGGTTTCTCGTCAGTAGGATCGAGGAGATAAAGTTGCGAGGCAGAGTGAAGACCGGCGACAGAGCCGCCAAAGATCAAAATTCTACCGCCCGGGAGGCTCACAGCTACATGATCAAGTCTAGGTGGAGGAGCTATGCCTCCCGGGTTTCCAGCACCCGGCATTCCACTCCCTGTTACACATCTCCAACAAGGTTCCTCCTCACTTAGATCCATAGTGAACACATCACTGGAGCGGAATCGAAGGGGACCACTCTTAGCCAAACCCCCAAACATCAATATTTTTCTTCCACCATAAACTGAGAGAGTGTGACCTAGCCGAGAAGGTGGGGTCCATGCTACTGGTATCTCCCTCCAGATAGGTTTCTCCATTGACAGATCGAGCAAAAATGTGTCACTGAGAAGTACTCCAGAATCTGCACACCCACCAGAGACAATCAACTTAGTGCCATCAAGGGTGCAAGAGCTGTGCCATGATCTTGGAAGTGGAGGGGCCAATCCAGAAATCTCACGCCAAGTTGGAGGCTTGGCATCCAAATCCAAAACAAAGACATCATTCAATAAACCTTGCCTTCCACAACCTCCAAAGACCACCAAACGAGACCCATTAACACAAGAAAGTGTATGTCCCCACCGACCAGGAGGAGGGGAGCTCACTTGGACATGTTGCCACTCTGGGTTCCTGGAGTTCAGATCCAGGACAAAGGTATCATTCATTGGCTGCATGTTAACACCTTCCCCACCAAAAAGGACGACTCGATTACCAACTGCACAAGCACTGAAATTACATCTTGAGGGTTCAACACCACCTCCAACAGTTAGCTTTCTCCATGCTGCTGCTTCAAGAGTTGTCAATTCCCTAGCAAGCCGACCCCAACCAAGTCTCTTTGCACCCGGCACAGTCTCCAAAACACGAGTTGTTTCACTACCCCAAGCATTCTGACAGACCATTCTCCAGAGATCCTCATTCTTCGTCAGCTCATAGAGCCGTCTGCAGACAGAACCAATTGACGCAATATCTCTTGGAGTCAACCGTGAAAGTATCTTGAGAGACAATACCTCATCACTCAATTCCAGTATCCCACAAATGCCACGAGAAACATTACGGTCCCCTACTGGGATTGAACGATATGTTGAAAGACCAGAACGAAACCTATCAGCCAATTTTGCAGACTCCTTTACCGAAGAACCAGGCAAGGGACCTAAATCAATATTCGTTTCGGTGAAGAACTGGATTCCAATAACATGAGTAATTGTGTCATCATCCCCATATATAGGAGTAAGTCTCAGCCTGTTCATTAGTGGAGAACCATCCTTTCTGAAGTTTAACAACTCGCCTTGGAATTCAATGCCCTCATCAAGGCATCTTCTTATTTCTGAAACCACTGAGGAGTCAACCAATGGATGCCTTCTTTTAGCAAATGGTCCTCTACATTGCAAGAAACGGCTGTAACAACATGCAAAGTATCAGAATAATGAAAGTCAATAATCCATGATGACCATAAAATGTCAACATTATAACGACCACACAAACACATGCGCGTGTGCATCACAGTAAGGGAGAGAGAGAGAGAGAGAGAGATTCTTCTAAACTAATAGCCTATGAATGACAAAAATATATAATAAACTATCAGAAGCAAAACCATTGTAAAGCATTCAACTCTACAGTGATGAACATGTACAAAAACACAAATGCATATCATATTACCAACTCTTAAAGCCTAAAAGAGAACATGGAGGTGGAGAAGAACCAAGACACAATTTCATGGAACCCGACAAATGTACTAAAAAAGAACCGCAAAAAAATTATACAAATAAAAAATTGTAAATGATACAGGAGATCAGGTCCATCTCTGTTAAAAATAAAACTAAGTATAGCAGCACACAATTGGGCCAGCGGTCAAACTTATACATGCGTGGTTCTGTGCATGGTATTAATCACAGTAATGGCATTGCAGGCATAACATAAAGGTTGCAGTCATCATGGTAATGAATCATATGCAACTCCCAGCAAATTTTTAGTAGTACATGCATGTTATATACTTTAGGTCAATAAAGACAACCGAAAACCAGTGGTTAGTAACGACAAAAACTGTAAACCATGACTTGAATTTACATGTACTAATCATCTTAAAAAAAAAAAAAAAAAAAAAGACCTTCATGGAGTGCCATAGTAGTAGTTTATCATCTATAAAGAAAACCGAGATCTATACCCTAAGCATTAAAAAAAATTAAAAAAGAAGCTGACCTTTAACTTTTGAAACAAATCTTTCAAGTTCTGTACTTGAAGTAGTTGAAATTGCTGGAAGAAATGAAATTCTAAGGAAGAAAATGAGATAGGATCAGGGGTGCCAATGAGTGCCGAGAGAAGGGTTGGGGGGGGGGGGGGGGCAGCGTGGGGCCTAGGAAGAGCATGAAAGAAGTAAGGTAGAAGTCAAAACTGCCAGCAGACTGGCTTTTAAGGATAAAACAACAGCCATTACCTTCAAATATGGCTGTTAACAGCCACTGCTGTTATGCAATCCCAGCTATGGCCATTATGGTGTGCTTTCAAAAAACACACTGTAATGAGAAAAAACAGCAATGGGAAGTGAAAATCCCATTATTGGCCATTATGTAATAGCAAAGGCCATTGTTTATTTCATGGTTCTGTGAATCCTCATAATGGCTGTCCACAATATGTATGTATGTATGTATGTATTAACCCCAAAAGAAATGTTGCTTAAACATTAGCTTAAAGAGCAACACACATTAATATATCCTCTGTTAGAACTTTTTCCTATAATTTTGACTTGGCTCTATCTATGAGACGTTAAAATCAAACCTCTAATTTCAATTGCCAAATTCTTGAGCTTCTAGAAATCAAAGGTTCAAAAATTGAACACTGCTATATAAATCAAGCTCCTGATGTTACAAAACTAACTTTCAGAGAATGAAATGTTGTTAAATAACATTCTTGAGCAAATCAAACACAGTAAATCTAAAAGGAGTAGTGTTTTTCATATACATCAGCTTTTATATAGGGAAAAAAAAGAATCTTTAAACAACACTCAGCACTGCAGCTACACGTCAATAGTATCTGCAGCATGACAATGACCACAACTGGTTCCACTTCACCCTAGATAACCTCCCAGTTTTAGCTAGTGCCAGTATAAAACTTCAATTCAACGAGAATTTTCTTAAAAAAGTATCAAGGATATGACATTCCGACAAAAATTCAATATAGGGATGGAAGCAGTTCTCATAGCCAGTCAAGCTCTGAAATGCTTGGAACTATAAATCAAGAGTTGCATGCAATGAGTCCTATCAATTAATAATATCAAGAACACATGAGATCAATTACGCAAGGTTAAACAATTGATAATACACGACAATAGTACGTGCAGCAGTACAATGGCCACAACTGATTCAACTTCACTCTAAGTAACCTCCCAGTTTTAGCTAGTGCCATTATACAACTTCAATTCGATGAGAGTTTTCTAAAAAAGTATCAAGGATCTGACATTCTGAAAAAAATTCAATATAGGGATGGAAGCAGTTCTCATAACCCAGTCAAGCTCTGAAATGCTTGGAACCATAAATCAAGAGTTGCATTTATTAATACTATCAAGAACACATGAGATCAATTACGCAAGGTCAAACAATAGATAATGCACAACAACAGTATGTGCAGCATGACAATGACCACAACTGGTTCCACTTCACCCTAGCTAACCTCCCGGTTTTAGCTAGTGCTATTACACAACTTCAATTCGATGAGAGTTTTCTAAAAAAGTATCAAGGATCCGACATTCTGACAAAAATTCAATATAGGGATGGAAGCAGTTCTCATAACCCAGTCAAGCTCTGAAATGCTTGAAACTATAGACCAAGAGTTACATGCAATGAGTCCTGTCAATTAATAATATCAAGAACACATGAAATCAATTATGCAAGGTCAAACAATTGATAATACTCAAAGAGGTAATACCCAAGGTCAAAAGAAGAAAGTCATCACACCGACAGCTACAGAATAAAAATGAATGCCACCGTAGCACCAAATCTTGCAGAACTCTATGATCACATTGAGCCACTGGGATAAACTACACAGTGTCTCCAGGCATATTAAATATGTAATTAGTTTTACCAATAATAGTTGCAGCATGATAATAGGCCAGTGTATATTTAGATCACCAGATGATAAATTCCACGTATGTATTCAATATATCAATAGTACAGGCCAGTCCGAGATATGTTTCAAATATCAAATAACTAATCTTGAAATGAAATCAACTGTCAAGTGTCACCCCATCGCTTATCTTTGGAAAATCATATCTCCAACAAGATGTGATATCTAAGCATCAACTTTGGATTTCAATTCAATGAAGTTATAGATTATTTTGAAAGGAGCAATAAACTCACAAAAATTGGAATACAGTGAGGCAATCCCAGGTAAAGAAATATGGAGACATCTTGAGATGATTCATCTATTGGGTTACTAAAGGATTAAATATCAGTTCTTATAATCTGTTAAGGAATATGAATCATGATTTGATCGTTTTACCAAACCAACAATTTTTGGACAATTATACTTCACAATGAACTTAGTCAGGGAGTATCATCGATATGACCCCATACCAAAAGATATGGTTTAAAAAATGTAACACATAATACCAGTTTTATTAAAACCTGACCCCTGGTTCTTGAATTCTTATTTCTTTGACTAATACAGGCCAGTAAGAGAGAAAAATAAAACTATTATAGATTAGAGTAATACCTCAAATATTTAAGAATAATGAGACCAATAAAAAAGCAAATGCCTAGAAGATCATCTAAGCAGTGACTGGTGTCTCTATGGGCATTCAAGAATAGAAACCAAAGATTGATCCGATTCCACGCCCCACCATCCATGGGTGCAATATATACACATGCAAACAAATAAACATTTCAATGCATGAAGGTAAACTTGGGTTGTTTGAGATTAAATTGGAAAAAAACCTATGCAAGCATATATTTGCATATGAGTTCTCACATCAGTTGGTTTAATTGCCTCAGCCAAAAATATTAAAATCCAGGCTCTGCTTTTTGTTACACTACCCAGGATTGGCGCAAACCAAAGAAGCAATTTGACTCACTACCAACCGTTGTGCTTTTTTCCCCCTCATGTCCAATTTTCTTCCATTCACTACACCGATTTTCACTCTCACCAAATCCTAAAACCACAGAGCTTATACGGGCATCCTTTAAATAGAGGAAAAAGAGATAGAATTAAATAATGATCCATCAAATCTCCAGTAAAATCTCAAGCAGTCCAGACATGGAATGTTTACTAGAAAAGTTTTAATTGGCGGATGAAATACACAACATTCAAGTACAACATCAACCGTTTGTTTGACATGATCCATTTCATAAAACATCAGAGAAATTGGGATCTACACAGCTTCCCAGTAACCCCTGCTTTGACACTTAATCCAATGACAAGAAAAGGTAAAGATATTCAAGGCCACACTAATGTCAAAAGAATCTTTCCCTGACCCTCACCTCAAAACAAATGCATGCATAAAGAATAAACTCCACTAAGTTCTGAATAACATCGGAACAAAAAAATATATATATATTCCTCCCTTTTACTACTATTAAGGAGATTTATACGAATTTTGATGCATTGGCATTTTACCACAGCAGGAAATTGCTCACATCAATCATCATCATCAATCAAATTGGCAATGTATGACATGAGTTTCAGTAGGTACCTTACTAATAATGGACAGCATGAAAGAAACAACAATTGCAATCTATTAAAAGAGAGTTCAGATAAAAAAGAAAAGTTAATTACACTCCTTTACATCTATACTGCCTAGAGCTAGTTATGAATTTTAAAATTCTAGAATTCATTTATAAGAACTGCCTGCTCTATTATAAATTCCTTTACAATTTCTGTAAAAAATCACTTCAGCAACCCACAATTAAGCGGCCCTGAGGCAACAAATAAAAGCCCTTTTAAAACTAGCGTCCACAATAGTTCTGAAAGACATTAATATGTTCTTGGCCTATTTTTATCACATTATGACTACGTTTTGATTTCTGAATTTAATGGAATTGGCTACAGCCAAAGTCCACTGTTTCTAACTTTTGAACCTATTAAAGTTACTAGGCATTCTAGGTAGCTTCAAACTACCATCAAAGTCCTAATTACTCACTTCCTATTTGTATTTGTGCTCCTAACAGAGTAGGGAAAGGTCAACAGTTTATATCTGTCATGTTTCATTCTGTATTGATTAAATAGGAACAACAAGCATTATTTATTTAATGAATGGATGCATAAATTTCTTTCATTCCCAGCATTTTTTATTCTACCTTTCCTTCATTCTCAAGGCACTCTTCTAATTCTTGTTTACTAAAAATTAATGCAATTCAGCCCTCGTTTACCAATTTTATTAGTTTACTACACCTTACTCTCAATACTCAAACTCTACCAACATGGAAATAAGGCATGGGTTAAAATTCCCGAAAACAGCACCAAACACGTCACCCTGCTCTAATTGCGGAAATAATACCAAAAACATCTAGAACTTGGATCTTCCATTTTTTGATTGCATACATTAGGTCTGCCCTTTTCCCTACTTCTAATCATATATCCCCTCGGATTTTCATCTCATTTCAATTAATTATTTTCCTAGTTGAATACGAAAAAACAACACAGCAAACAAGCCTTAATGTCCAAATATGGATGCAATCCATAAGATTCCTCCAAATAACTTATACAAAGCATTCAATTTCAACCACCAGACCCACATCTTTCAAATCCTAATTTAACTACAAGCATGATACGGACAACAAAGGAAGCAAAGCTTGTATCTTTTTGTAGACAAGAATATTTCTATAATTTCCAGAAAATCTGTCCTACATCAAAGCATCTATCCTATTCTTGTAATATTGAGATTGCAACTAAATGTAATTCAAACACTAATCCTCTAAATAAGTATCAGCAAGTGGATTTCTCAAATATCTCTCTCCTAAGTCAAAACTCTTCCCTTTCGAAAAGGCAAATTGGTTGTTTTCATACTTATTTAGGTTTATGCAGCAAGAGCAAAATCACCAAAATTAGCCACCAATTAAGTGTCCAACGTTGACGATACTTAAGAGTTGATTACTTTGTAAAAATAAAATGTATAAATGTCTATTTATAACCGGCTTCCTTACACATTTTCAAGCTGTTTATCTCTCATTACTCAAAAGATATCGAAAGCCCCAAACAGAAGCTGGCTTCCCACGAAACAACAAAACAAAAAGCATACAAACTCGCTAACCATCATTTGCCCCATGTCACCAAAGCCTAAGCTCAAGTACATCAAGCAACAATAAGTGAAGTAAAAAAAAAAAAAAAAACTCATTTTTTACCCTAAACACCAAAACCCTACATTTAAACAACTCCCAGCTTCCTTAAACAAGCTGAGGCAATTAACCCTCATTCTCTTGATAACACAAAAACCAAAACCAAAAAAAGTAAGAAGTGGGCTTTGAATAACCAAGACAGTAAATTAAATTAGCAAGGTTTAGAAAGCCCTACAGTTGGGAAAAAAAAGAAAGAAAAGAAAACTTACCAATTACGGCCAAGAACTTCTTCAGCTCGATAGCCAGTAACCATCTCGAAAATAGTATTGACATAAACAAGAGGATGGTCAGGTTCGAGAGCATCAGTGACCACAAATCCACAAGGAGCAGTTTGCAGCAAATTATCAACAGGAAAAGGCAAAGAACCTACTCCTCCATCGGTAAACATGAATCCCTCCTCATCTTCATCTCCACTCAGATCCGAATTGCTATCCCACTCCATTTATTTATTTTTTTCTTACCCCAATTTATTCAATAATAAAAATATTCTCTCTCTCTTTCTAACCCATGAAATCAAGAACCCAAATAAAAAAAAGAGATTAAGAATTAAAAACCCAAATGTTTGCGAAAAAGAATAAATTAGAGGAAAAAAAACAAAAAGAAATTGAAGAGTTGGGGTATTTTGTTATGCAGGTGAAATGAGAAGATGGTGAGACAACGAGTGGTGGCTAGTGTTTCAGAAATTTAGCTATAACCAAAAATATAAACTTTGTTTTTTGTTTTTGTTTTTTTAATTTGTTTTCGCTTGTTTTTGTTCTCGTATGCTTGCGTGTGTGCGTGTGGGTTTGTTTTTGACATGTGCCAAACGCCATGCCACTCTCCGCCTGGAAAAATCTGGGGACTTCGCTTAACCGCTTGCTCGCTACGCGAAGCTTTTGGTGTCGTTTTGGACTTTTTTTTTTTTTTTAATTGCATGCTGAAAAAGGCTTGGGTTGTTAATGGACAGAAATGGCACACAGAAACCTCAATTCAGCCACCAACGTATTCCGTTTGATTTTTTTCCCCCCCAAATGTAATAGACGATTTCATCCTTCCTTCGATCCATCCGTCCATTATTAATGGCACCTAAAAACTTACGTCTAATTTTGCGTGCAATTTGTAAATGCTTCATCTAATGTGTAAAAATAAACCTTATGTTTCGATGTTAAAATTTTCCTTTATGACTGATAAAGTCTTACCGTGGTGTAGCATTTGGATGGAAGCACTGAATATGTATTTCTACATTAGACAAAAGAATTTAACTACCACCGACATGAATAGATAAACGGATAACATTGATAAATTATTTTTTAAATAAAATTGATAAATTAAAAGATTTGAAACTCAATTAATAATAAAACAATATTTTAAAAGCTAAGTGGAGGTTCTCTGTTACCACTTATCGTGCATAAAAAAATATAAAAAAATAATAATAATATTTTTTGTCGATTACTTTTAAAATAGGTAAACAAAGGAAATTTTTCATTTTATCCAAAAAAAAAAATGTAAGCAATAGAGGAAAAAGCAATATTTAATTGTTTCTTTTATGCATCAATTTAGATAGAAAATTGTTATGCCTAAATTTGGATTGAATTGCACGACCCATCAAATTAAAGAAAAAAATGGTCAGGCTCATATCTAATTGAATCTCAATATTCAGTTTAGTTTTAAACTTTTGACTAAAGGCTCAAATACCCAACTCAAACCCAAACGATTGGAAGTCTAGCATATGGTTGGAAAATATCTTAAAAGAGAATACCAGCCACAATGATTTTTTTAAAAAAAAAATCATGAAGCATGAACTCTTGATAAGATTGAGTTGTTGTTGAACACATTTCAAGAGTAACAACACTAACAACCAAAAAACCAATCAATGATCTAATCAATAAAGATTCAACTAGAATTTAGCATAAAAAAGAGATGATCAAGACAGCAACAAAAACACATGGAGTACTACAACATAGAGTTGAAAGTTGTAAGAAACGTAGAGCATTATAGACATACATGTCGAAATGCAAAAGAATATAATCGACTAAGAAGGATAATGGAAGAGTAAGAAGTCTATAAATGACGGAAGCGCATCCACCTGGATTTAAGATCGAGAGTTTTAAGCTAAAATTCTTAAAGGGTCGAAATAATTAGTCCTTCTATTTATTTTTTGGTTATTGATTTATCCTTTTTCCATAAGGATTTCTTATTGCAATAGGGTTTTATTTTGGTCCTTAGGTTTTTTGGATTCATATTTAATTACGAGTACATCTTTATTGTGGATCTATAATTAAATAGAATCCATATTTATTTAGCGATTTAAGATCGAGAATTTTAAGATGAAAATTCTTGGAGGACTCGAAATAATTAGTACTTTTATTTCTTTTATTTGGTTATTTATTTATCCTTTTTTCCATAATGATTCTTTATTACAACGGGGCTTTTATTTTAGTCCTTAATTGGTTTGAATCCATATTTAATTAGAAGTCTATCTTTATTGTGGATCCATAATTGAACAAAGTTCATGTTTATTTAAGAAGTCTATATTTAATTTAAACTAGATTAATTAGTCCTTATTAAGTTTGAATTGAACTTTAAGTCATTTTAGTCCAAGTCAATTTAGGAAGTTTGTTTGGAGTTTTTTTTTTTTTTTCTATTCGAGTTCTTTTTCTATCCGTACTTCAACTAGGTTCTTAGAGAGTTAAAATTTGATAAATAAATTGGAGAATTTTCTTTGCATGTTTTTATGTTTTCCTTAGCTTGGACTAGCTAGGATTTCGTGAATGCATCCTTAAAGTGATAGACTAAAGTATGTTTAGATCAATCACGTTCAAGGTTATTGTGGTGGTGATATATGTATTTATAAATTCTTGATGTATGTATTCTATAAGTTCTACTATTTTATTTTATTTTATTTTATTTTATTTTTGGAGGGGTGGACTTTACATTAAGGGGCATTAATTGGAATTTGCATCTTTTATTTTAATTATGAATTTATTGAAGTTAATTTCAAATTTAACTTTGGGTTGGCACTATTAACCTTAAAGCACATTGGCTAGTTAGGGTCGCTTGTTTGGGTTAAAATTTTGTAATTCACATCATTTTACCTCTTTAGATTATATTTAAAAATTCAAAAAAATCCAAAAATAGGAGGGTAATTTCAACATCTTTAACGTTTTATGGAAATTAGGTTTGTCGAGTTTATATTTAAATGTGGTCTTGTAAGATTATTTGAGCTATTTAATTACTTGAGGTGTGTTTGTTGATTATTTGGGGATGTTTAGTGGTTGATTCTAGGTCATTAGTTTTGACCATCTATTTTTCTATATGTTTATGTGTTTGAGCTTCTACAGAGTTAAGACATCTTCTCAATTTAGCATCGAGTCTCATACCGGTTGGCTTTCACTGGTGCATTGGTCAATTGTAAAGATGGAAAAACAAAATCAAATCAATGTGCTTCGAGAATAAAAGAGAGATTAGATAATTAACTATAGAAAAAGAAAAGTTAGAGAAGTTGTTTTGTATCAAAAACTTAAGGAGGATTTTATACGCACATGATATGAGAGTAAAAAATTGATGCGTAAAATTACAAGTAGGAAAAAAAAGATTGAATTATTGGAGTAGATAGTATATTTATATCAATAAAACAAAAAGTTTAAGAGAAAGAATCGAGAGTTTAGTAGTTGAAAGTTTAAGGGTGGAGTCGATGAGATTGAAGATGAAACTTTTCAAGAACAAGATGTGAGTTTTGAAACTGAATTTTTTTATGTAGGTGGCATTGAAAAAGAAGTTAAAAATATTGACTTTATTGTTGATTAAAGCATCCAAAATTCCAACAAAAGAATTGACATCATTACCGACTTTGATGATTTCAATAACCAAACCAACATGTTCGTTGCCATTAAAGAGTTAATATAAGGTGTTGTTCTTAGTAGCCATGAAGTTGACTTTGAGGAGCATAGGGTCGTTGGAAGATTATTCAAAACTTTTCCATACGATGTTGATGTTTGTACATAAGAGAGCCTTGTTAACGTTGATGATGAGAATCAAGCTATTATTTTCTCTTTGGTTAGACTCGTGTGTTTTGTTAGGATTTTCTCTTTTGTTGATAAGAATCAACATGAGCGTGTTCATACTATCTTGATATAAACTAAGGCTCTATCTTTTATTGGGCTTATTGAAGATGAAATCAACAAAGAAATATTCATTATGGAAATCTAGCTTGACTACAACATGATTGGCGGATATGATATAAAGATTTCATTCTTAAAGTCGAGACTTACTATCCTTTTGAAAGGAAAGGATAATAATCAAAATGAGAGATTAGTTTGTCACCATTTGAAAAAGAGTGGTATGGGACACAAAGACTAGAATTCAAGAGTTTTATGCATTATTCTATTATGCTAATGAGTAAGAAAGGGTTCAAGCCATTAGAAACCTATAGAAAATAATTCTAAACTCGTTGGACTTGATAATAAGGATGAGTTGGAGGAATACTTTATTAAATTTACATTTGTGATAAGTGGTATTAAAAAATTAAGATACCGAGAAGAATTCTATATTTTTATAAAGCCTATTTAGGAGGATTCTATTTATGAGCTCAATTTGATAGTTAGTTTAAGGGTGAGATTATAAGGAGAGTCGGTGATCTATTTTCAAAGCTTAGTAGCATGCCTTTATTTTTTTTTACTATCAAATTAAGAGCTATTATTTGTGGTAAGGATTTTGGACACACTAAAATGATCGATTCATATGAAAGATATCACTTTATTAGATTTGATGTTAGTTAGGGCCTCTACTTATACATATTTGGAAAACTAGTCAACAACCACAAAGATAAACTCTTTTAGCCCAAAGGCTTTAGAAAAGGTCCTAATATGTTCATTTTTCATTATGAGAATGACCATGATAATCGGATGACTATCATCTCTATCGATGGTTGTTGTAGACTAGAGTAAACCTTTGGTATTTATCGTATGCTTTGATTAGGTGTTATGAACCTTAGAGAATCGAGGGCTAGTAAAATCATGCTTAAGTGGTTTAGGCTAAAATAGCCTTTGTATACGGACCACACAAGTCTTCACGTATACTCCTTAATACATACCTGGTTTTCTTCAAGAGAAATACATTTTAATATACGTGTTATAATGGACCTTCTATAAAGATGTTCATCTATTAAACAATACCTAACCATTTTTATTGACGAAATACAACCTCTATTCTATTGGCAAAGAGTATCTCATCTTTTAAATATTGCCTATTGGCGTTCTTCAATCCTTCTTGATAAGTGCCTATATAATAGAGCCTATTATAAGCTTATCTTTTTTGTCAATGTTAGGTCCTTTAAGAGTTTCAATCCACATTTCTAGAGGGAGATCTATTGGACTAGTGCTAGCTAACTTTGAAACTAAATCTACTTATGCGTTTTCTACCTTGAGGATAGGAGAGGTGGTGATTATCTTTTTTCTTCTTCCT